TTCGTGCTCTACCGCTTCCTGCGTGCTTTACAACAGAACAGAGGACAGTCGGGGCTTCTTTATTTGTTAATTAATATCTCTTTGGTGTTTTTCTATTCTAGTGACCTACTATCTCAAGTGTTCCAATTATGGGGCCATAATAAGTCAAAGTAGCGTGACTGAGGTCTTTTAACTATTACTCTTAGGAAGCTCGTATACCAACGAACATGTCGGGAGATATTGGCACCAATGACCTATTCATGACATAAATAAAACCAACGAGCGAACCTCAAACTGTAGGATCTAATTTGACTGGCAATAGACTGATTGAAAGTTGCCAGACCTCTACATTTCACTAAGTTAAGAGGAAACTTACTTAAACTGAACAATTGGTTCCAACGTGCTATCAGTTATCGCTATCGACCATCAAACTACTTTTGGCTTAAGATGACTTCCGCTTACGTTGTCGTAACGTCCGTCGGCAAAAAAAAAAAAAAAATTCTCGAGGACGACCCTCTCCAGGGAAATCACATTATATGAACTAATGATTGGATAGTGCAATTCAATGAGAGTTTTCATTGGCTTTGCCATCATGGTACAGGACCATTTATACCATGCTCTTCAAATACGGAATATGCAATAGTTTTTGGCGTTGTTATTTTTATTTTAGTTTAGTTTTCTATAGTTTTGGGGATGTTTTAATAAAACAATTATTTGGTTATTACAACCAAGTCGGCGCCGCCAACGTCTTTGCTATCTATCATCAAATATCAAACGCGCGCGCGTGGAATAAATATTAAATTAAAGGAGAAGGTCACTCCAAAAACTGCGTATTTTTTCCGTCACCAATAAAAAGTTCACATTGAGTTGAGTTTCTCGCCGTTGTTTAAGCTTCTGAAGTGGATGCAATCCCAATGAAAAAAAAGGTGAAAAGTTCGACAATGGGAGCCGCCATTTTGAAAGGATCTTAAAGCCCAGGCCGCGTATCCGTGACGTCATTCAGCCCAAATTGTCGCGAATTGTAAGCTAAAATGTTGGGGCCTGGGCTGTAAAACCCGAACCGAAAAGGATAGGGAAAGAGGAGTGACTTTCATTAATTTGCCTGCAAAGAACAAAAACTTACCAAAGAAGTGGTTCGAACAACTACGTCGGGATGAGAGATTCATGCCAAAAAACCTCAAAAATGTGTATG